CCTTGGGTTAATTATTAATTTCAGTTCAACACTGACAAATATTAAATGCACACCTCCAAGACAGAAACCTTCTGGGGGGAGGGTGGTGGCGTGGTTTTTGAAATATTACTGTGTCATCTGTGATATGTTCTTGGTGATGACCACTAAAGGTGGCATTGCTGTGATTTATACTCTGGTAGTGTAATACAGGAGAAGGGAAAGATACTAAAACTGGTGTGATTTAGGTACATTCCTTCCTCAACTTGCCTCTTAATTTCTTTGGTATTGCTTGCTTTTCAATTAATAAAATAGATGTACTCAAGGTACAGAAAAAGGCAGGACATAGTTTTATATATCATCTTCTCAGTTCCAGTTCAGTGACACTAATTTCCAGCACAGAACTTAGAGGAACACATTGTCTTTGCATGTTCAGTAAAATAAGAATGAGAAAATTGAGAGCTTTTTTTTAACCTTAATATGTTTTCTCTCAGGAAATAGAAAATGAAACCCATATGGCATAGATACCTGATTGCTAACTTACTTCCAGAGATAGTGTACCTTTAGAATTACATACCTATAGAATAATTAGTATGTGATTAGTAACTAAGGATGTGGGTTAAACAATGGCTGATACAGGAGGCAATTTATAACTGTAGCCTGTGCTTCCATGGTTGGCTTTGTGCTTTTACTTTCTGCAAGGATTACTTTGCTGCTTTTCTAGGAATTTTCTACGTAGTCCTGTAGGTACTGAACTGGCTGGATATGCTAATACACACAATCCCTCTGAATAATCTTAAATAGTTGAATTAAGTACATTGTTACTCTGCCCTGGCATTTCCAAGTATTTTTGTGCCTATTAACCGATTGCATCACCTCCATCCACATCCCTCAAGGGGAGGTGTTGAGAGAAGAGCTTTCAGAGCAGAGGCCGAGGGCTGCCCACCTCTGCCATTTAGCCTGACTGCAATAGCAGCAGAGGGGAGGTCTTTATCCGTGCTTGTGGAGGGAGGCAAGCTAATTCAGTGAGCCAGGGCTCTCTGGTTTCCAGGCCACTCATGGCTGTGTGCACACCTTCAAGCCTGGCCTAACATGTCCTGCCTCTCAGCAAGGAGCAGAAGTTTAAATCAGCACAAAATTCGTAGGGACAGGGATGATGATTGTTGCCGATTTTACAAAATAGTTCGTGCATGCACCTGTGCATTATCGTGTGCAAATTAGGCAGGGCATCACTTTGGAGGGAGCCTAATTCCCCTTTGGAGTTGTAATCTGCATTGTCCAGAAGGGCTTTCCATGGTAGTATACAAAATACTGAGTGGCCTTGGACACACCTTTGCCATTTTTAGCTGTTTGAAAACGGTTTTGATTTCCAGGCAGTTTGCTGAATGTGCTAGAGCTCAGAACTGGAAACAACTGTTTCTGTTGTTTCTCTATTCTGGTTATGAAGCATGAAAGGCTTTTCCCACTCCATCAATGCCTCCCTTTTTTTTTTTTTTTTTTTGGTACCTTTGGGAACAAATTTGAGTCACGCTTCCTCAGCATGGTTTCTCGGCTTGATTTTAACTTGGTTTTTGCACTGCCCACATGATTTATATAGAGAGAAGCTAATTTTTGTGAGCTGGACCCTGATAGTGGATATGCTTCAGGGAAGATAATCACTTGTTTACATCCTCTCTTTTTGCACTCAATTACTGTTGGGCTTCACCCACTAGGTTTTTATAGACTGCAGTGGTTTGGTGGTTTGCTCAGCAAATCAAGTCTGTCTGCCTGAAAGCTGGCAGGTAAAGGCTGGTGCTGGTTCATAGCTGTGGCCATTGCAGCACTGCAGTGCTGACACTGAGTGTCTCAGCTGGTGGGGCAGGTCAGAAAACATAACCTGGAGACTGTGAAATCAGCAGATCAGGTCAGGAAGCTGATGCTTAATGGCAGTTTGTGAACAGGCAGACAGGAGCTGGAACTCCAGTTAAGCACCCCCATCTTGGTATCTCATGATGAGGTTCCTCACTTGGAGTCTGTTCACAGATCACACAGGGCTCTGTACAGGTTGGAGCCTTATAAGCTTTATTATCCCAAATGGGAATTTGTTGCATCTCATGAGTTCTGTTTTTTTCATTCTAAGCTGAGGATGACACATGCATTTCAGAGAAAACCCACCCTTTTTCTGGAACTGTGTTCTTCTGTTATTGTACATCTGCCCACTCTCCCACTCCCCTCCCACACACCGTTTGTGACAGCATCACTGTATATTCTGCTTTTCTGATGTAGCACCTCCACAATACATTTTGTGTGTTTAGGGGAAAATTGCTCAGTCTCCATTTTTACTTGAAAATGTAATCTTCAGACTGATGTCTGTGGAAGGATTTTTTTTTGTTAGGATCTGTATACGCAGTGCAATGACAAGCCTGTTTCTCCTCTTTCTTTTTTTTTTTTTTTTTTTTTTAAAAAACCTAGATTAAAAAAAGAACACGTCTTTCCTGGAGGAACATAAGCTGTGTCTAATATTGATACGTACTTTATGTTCTTCTCCCTAGACATGATATGTTTTTTCCAAAATAATCTATTGAAAGTAACTTTTTTTTTTTTTTTGGCCATAAAACAATGCAATATTTTTATGTCTCTGTGAGGTTAGGGGAGAAAATGTTTGTGGAACATAGGCCTGAAGTTCTTCTTTACAAGTAATCCTATAAGGAATATTTCCTATTTCATCAGTTGTTCAGTTCCAGTGTCTGATGTTTTTCTCTTGTGTAGCCTGGGTTAGAAAGTACATCAAATCCTTGGTTAACTTGAAGTGAGTTTTCTTAAAGAGTAATTATTTGATACTGAGGTGATGAGCCTACATGTATCACATCATCAACATATGACAAACTGTTTAATAATAATGACTACCATTAACCGTGTATGCCATAAACTGTGTATACTCCTGTGTATCAAACCCTGCTGTGTGCACCGTGTCACAGGATTTAAGCGTTTAGTGGCTTAGACACCTTGAATCGTGATCAAGGGAAATCCTTAGACTGGGGTTTTTAGATGTGGTGGCTTGTGATTTGGTCCTTTTTTCAAACTTCTTGTTTAAGATCCCATTAGAAGGTTGGAAAGGTATTAGGAAAGTTCAGTTCTAGACTACCAGGTATTAATTTCTGGTTTATGTGTGATGGCACCTGTGAGGTCGATACAATGTGAAGAAGACAAGGCATGCTGGAGGGATCAGGGGTTCCAATTTCCCCCTTTATTTTATTCCCATGGCTGCCTCCACCTATCTCACTGTTCTGGTGGCTGTTGCTGCAGCCATTTGTGTTTTAGCCATTACCTTTGTGTAGCCTAGTTTTCCACAAATGGGAACAACTGGGAGAAAGTCAGCCTGTATGAAAAGAGGAGCCAGAAAAAGCTTGGCTGGCACTCCCTGCCCTGCTCCTTCCTATGCCTCCTTCCACTAGGCAAATGTGTTTTTGATTGAATGCACAGATCACTGGCTCAAATACAAAAGATGCTTTTGTAGTTTTCATATATAATCCATTGTAAAAATTTGGTCCATTATATTCTCAAAGTGAAACCTTATAGTAACAGCAGAAGTCATCAATGAGGATTAGTTCCGTGGTGAACAATAAATGGTCCTGCTTCACGTGAACTGGAGACCACCAAGTTCTGTGGGTACCACGGCAGCGTGCAGGGGGAATTCAGGCTGGTCTATGAGCTGCTGTCACATGAAGAGCTCTCAGGACATCTGTCACTCATGTGGTGGGGCCGCATTACACAGAAATTCCTGGTGCTTGGCTCTAGGGACAGTTCAGTGCAATTCCCTGAAGTCAGGGAATTTATTGCAGGGGGAAACTTGGCTCGGGGAATTGTTTCTTTGATTTGGTGAGGTTTGGTGCTGGTGTCGGTGAGGGGCCACATCTCTGTGGAGTGGTGACTAAGCCAGGGATGCAGACGGCCCTGCTGCACTGGGGAGTCACACCCTGCATCTCTCTCAGCACCTGCCTGAAGAGGCTGGAGCAGTGGTGTGGGAAGGAGCTGAAATGAGATCAGTTGTCTGCTAGCAACTAATCCAAAGTCTCTTTTGATCTACCCGTGTCCTGTTTTGGGGAATAAAGGCTTGATGCTAATAGTGATAAGAGTTATCCAGGGAGGCAGGAGTAGAACTTTGATTTGCTGGTTTAGCAGGGGGATAAGCAATGAGGAAATGACAGACCCATCTGTCTTGGATATTAACGCCAGTAATTACTGTTCCAAACCCAAATGATATTTAGGGAGTGGGGGCGACTAAGTAGCAACATATTGTCACTGTCTCTTTTAGTCGCCGTTGGTCCGCATGTACAAGCACTGTCCATCTTCAAGGCAGGCCTTCAGAAGTTGTTTTAGGAAGCTCCAGAGTGCAGCTTTTGGGGTTGAAAAATAACGAGCGGCACCCCTGGTGGTATTATTTTTGCTTTGGGGTTGAGCTGAGCCGGGCAGGCTGAGCCCAGATTACGCTGCGTGCTCTGAGCTGTCCCTCCTCGCTGCGTTCGGTTCGCTGCTGAATGCAGCTCTCCTGATGCAGCCTCACGTGGCTGCAGAGAGGCACAATGAGGACTTGAGCATTGCCAGCCCTTTCCAGGCGTCTCTCCTGCTGCCTGCAGGTGAGCACGCTGAGCCTGGGCTCTCCCAGCCCCGCACATTTTCCTCCCGGCTTCCTATGGAGCACCTCGGCAGTGAGGGAAGATCGTGAGGAGGAGAGAGGAGCAGGAAGGCGTGTGCCGGGCTCCGGCACAGCCGGTCGCAGCAGCAGCAAGTCAGTAAGTCAGATTGCACCATTTTCTTCTCACCCTGTGTAAAGGCGATGTGAGAAGCTGACGGGAGCTGCCCCCTCCCCCTCCGGTGGGGATGCTGAAGTGGAGCCCTCCTCACAGCTAGAAGACGCAGCCTCTCTGGAGGAATCCCAAAAGACCTTCCCAATTTGGTGATGTGTGTTTAAAGGCCGATTTTTCTTTTCCTTTTTTTTTCTCCTCCCTGGGATTTTTTTTCTCCTTCCCAGCTGAGTCTGAAGCCCGCCTTCTCTTGCAGCCACAGCCAAGCTGAAGGGCTTCCAGCCTGCTAGGAGGTATTTTCTGGCTGCTCCCTGCTCGCGTGTGTGTGGCTGCGGGCACTTTGGCACACTGCGTGTGTGGACGCGGCTCTCCTGCTCCCGAGCAATGGGTGCTGCAGGGGCTGGGGCAGAGCCGTGACCTTTCCTGGGGTGCTGGAGGAGGAAGAGTGGATTACGCCTTGAACTTCTGGCTCGCAGCCAGTGCCCTTGCGGAAAAAATAAATCACCTGGATATCCGCGTGTGGTGGGAACAGCTTCCTTGGAGCTGGTGTTTTCCTCGCCAAAATGGCTCACGCAGCCGCTTCCATCAAAAAAGTTCGAGAGTCTGAAATCGAAGAGAGGGAGAGAAACCTTGAGAAGGAAAGGAAAAGACAGCGGAAAATCTCTAGGGCCGATCGGAAACGCAAGGTATGAGGGGGAAACCGGCCCCCTTCTCCCTTTCCTCCCACCCTTCCTCTGTCTGTGCAGCACTTCACAGGTGTTCGCTGCCATGTGCAATGCTCTCCCCTTCATTTTCCAAACCTTTCCCATCACATTTCCCTTTTGCATCCTTTCCATCTCATCTGAGCCCTGCTGTGGACTTTGCCCATCTGCAGTGAGATTAAAGAGCTGCCAGCCATGGCAGCCCACAGCCACACAAGGATCATGCTCATAAAGATGGCATGCTGCTATCGCCACTTTCCCTTCATCCCAAAAGGCCTCGAGCTCCCTGCCATCATTCCCAGCCAGGTGTTCCAAGCCTGTGGCTGATCTGGAGAAGCTGTCAAGGGAGGGAGGTGGCTGTGCTTGTGCTTTGCAGCGTGAAGGTGCATTTCTCTACTTCTCAACAGCATTTCTCCCTCATTTCCCATTTTTAGTTCCACTTCCCACCTCCTCAGCAGTGCTCAGTGCTGTGTGTAGGACCCGCCTTGGGGTGCTGGGAGCATCAGCTGAGCTGTGTTGCAGTTTTTGGGTGTCATAAAAGGGATTCTGGGCTTGCCGCTGTGATTCAGTGTGTTTACACTGCACACTGCAGGTGTATTTGTCTAGGTAGGGCCTGGCACACAAGTCTGCAATCTGTCGGGTTTGCTTCTGTTACTGATGGCAATTTCTAGTTCTCTTAAGGCATATCTCTTCAGATGGTTCTGATTTTGGGGAGGTTTCTCATAATTTAAAATTAACTGCTGTTTTCCCTCTATGTTAGAGGGAATGAAAACTCTCATTGTTTTGGGATGAAAAAATAGAAAAGAATGAAAAATCCATAGAGGTGATTTGTTTGTTAGATCACTCTACAGTTTCCAAGGACATAAAAAATAAAATAGTGGAGAAAATACTAAAATGAAGGTTCTGATAATCTTAGCTTTAGGATTGTGATACATTGTGAGTGCCTGTGTAAATGCCTTCTCATTGCTGTTTCTTTTCTCCCATGTCTGGAGTCTCTAGCTTGTGATCTGCATTAACTCATTCCATGACACTGTGTTTTTATCCATTCTTTATAAATTTCTCTGGAAGGGAAAATATCAAGAGGCAATCCCCACCCCATACCTCCCCTTCCTCCCGCTTGCTGCTACATTGCATGTAAACACAGATCTCTGTAAAAAGAAAAGCCTAGAATTCAGTCATGTAATGTTTGAATTTACAGATCCTTTTGGCAGATCTCTAAAATTCAGAAGCCATCTGCTCCCTTGGCATACCTGGGCAGTTTTGAATTTGTTTTGCATTCAGTCTTAGGACTTTTTATATTCTGAACTGTATAGCTTAAATAAAATGACAGAGGCTGTTTGATGCCTTTGGGACCTTTGGGTGTGATCTCCATGACTTTTCAAATGTTCACTTTGCAGAGTTCATTAAGTCACATCCAAATTGTGTTTACCAAAACCAGGAATGTCATTTCTAATGTATGCAGTGCCTGGATACTGGGCAGGGCTGCTTGGGGCAGATTGTGATTACTCTCCTAATCCCTTAAATGGGACACTGCAGCATAAGGTAGTTTTTGTGATTACACTTTTGATTGTGGAATCCTCTCCAAAACAGCCTTTTTAGAAAATGTACTTAATGTGTGAATGTCCTTGCTGGAAGGGCTTTTTTTTTTTTTTCTATCTGCCCAGCACCCATCTCAGTTACTTCGTTACAGTGTATGTTGTTTTTCCAGATTTTCACAAATCCTATTTCCTCAACATGTTTGATTCAAATGCTGTTGGACTACTTTAATTAAAGCTGGATAGAATTAATACTGCCCCTTCTGCTGTCTCTTTTCCCAGAGCGCTGCATATCCCTGACTGCAAGCAGGCAGGCTCAGGCCGCATTTCTGCTAGTAATCATGTGTGGTGATGCAGGCCCCTAATCAGATTTTTGGATCCAGGGATCACCAGTGGGCTTTGCTTAGAAAATATGGAGAACACTTCAGTGTTGTGTGTGTTTCCTCCTTCTTAATATTCAGCCCCTGCTCCTGGCTCTCTTCTACTGCGGCTGTACCTTGCTGTTACATAAACAAGTGCCTGGCTGCACCCTAAACTTGCCTTCAGTCAGATGGTTGGGGGTGGGTCAGGCTGGGCTTTTCCATCCTGCTGCTGCTGCAGGAGACACACAGCAGCACAGGAATGAGTTGTTTATGTCTGTATCTCTACACGCTGGTGCTGTGCAGAATGCTGGGTGTAGATCAGATCCAGGTATGTGGGTATGTATCCACACCCATCATATATACACAGAACAACCCAAATAGAGAATATATGGTACATATAGTGTTTTTATTTAGTCACCAATTTAAGTGAGATACGTGTCTGTGAGATATTTATGTATCTGTCACTTTAATTCCTCAAGAGCAATAAGTGGTTTTACTGTGAAATGGGATTATCTCCTTGTAAGGGCCCTCCCAGTTTTTGTTGACTTTCTTGGAAAATGGAGACTAGGAACATATTAGGTGTGCATGTCCATGAGAGGCAAAATGCAAATGAATATGTTTTTGATTGCTTTCAGCACTTAGTGTTTCTGCATAGGGGAAATCTGGTTCCAGCTTTGTGATTTGTTTGAAAGGCCTTACCCTGCAGTGAGTGGATTTTCCCTACAAAGGGGAGATGCATTTTGTTTGTGGAAGGATCATTGGAGTGGGGGCATGTCAGGTGTCGTGGGCTGTCTTTCCCAATCTTCATTTGGATACGTGCCATGTGCCGGTAATTGCCGAGCACATGAAGCGCTCCTTTGGCCTCGTGATAGAAACTTTTCCTGCGTCCCTGGAACATCCTGGTTATGCAAAAGAGGATAAATGAAGGGCCATGGCCTTAGCTTTTCTCTGGCAGGATGCTGGGCATCTGTTAGTACCATCCCACCCTTCTCCAAGCTCCCAGGGATGCTGCAGGGCATGGGCTCATAGTGCCTCTGCCTCTCGGATGTTTTGCCATGTGCCATCACCTGTCTGGGCAGCAGCACTGCAAACTGTGGCTGCAGCCTCTGTGCTTCTGGGGCAGCACCAGGATGTTCTGAGATGTGGTCAGGGCTGCTGCCTGACATAACCCCGGGCCCCAACAGGCCCCTGGCCAGCAGCAGAGCTGTGAGCAGGCCCAGCAGCGAGCTGCTCACATCATCTTTTGGCCATCTTTAGTGGTTCTTTAGAGATGCACATAATTTTTCCACACTTAAAAATGTGGAAAAAGAGTTTGCACGCTGAAGACCTTCTACTGCATTCCTTTTGAGATTGACTCAGTTGATTTTTAAAACTAGTTGACAAGTGGGCAGCCTGCTTACCTTGCATCCAAGTTGAAAATTTTTGCTTTTATGCAGATGTAACCTTTTCTTGCAATGTGGAAAAAATGTTACTGGTGCACACACATGTATGTAAAGCCCCCCAACCTCTTCAGTAGTTGTGTAGATACCCAAATGTATCAAGAGCATTAAAAACCAGGTACTGCCACAGGAGGTGTGCAGCATCAAATATATAGATTTTGTTGCAATTTAGGCACAACTAATTCCATTTTACCTAAATTCAGGATGCACATGCCCCAGTTCCACTTGGCTCTCGGTGTCTTTGGAGAGAGCTGCCTGTGGCTCACCCTTTGCAGGGAAGCGAGGTGATTCCGAGGCGGTCGCTCACTGAGTCAGCAGCAAAGCTGGAATTACAGCCTGGGAATCCAGCTGCCTAGCCCCTGGCTCTATGTAACACACGCTTGCTTGTCCCTGTCTAAAGTACTTCTCAAAGCAGACACAGCTTCCTGTCTCTACATGTGACAAGTGTTGAAAAGATTTTCGAAAACCCACATAAAATCCCAAATTTAAAAAATCAAAATGGATTCTGCTGCCGAATGAGACTGACTTTGGAATGTTACAGATGTGGTAAACTGATGGCTGTTAGCGTTTTGCCATCAGTCATGAGGACAGAGTTTGACATCTGGTCTCTACTACCAGTAGCTGGGTATTTATCTAGTATTTTAAATTGATTTTAAAAACTTTTATACCTTTTTGAAGGCCAGATTCATGAATTCAGCATTGTTAGCATAAGGTGTTCCACAGCATCTGGAATACTCATCACTGTTTGCTAAAAGATTGAGAAGCAATAGCATCAGGTGTGTTTTGTGCTTCACTTGAAACACTAAGCACTGCTGAAGCTCACACAGAGCTACTGCTGGCCAATATCTGCAGAAAGACAAAGATGGAGGGACTCTGCTCTCAGCAGAATTCCAGTGTATGTGGGGAAGAGTCAACACAACGTGCAGTAAGTGGCTTCCATTACAGAGCTGCAAGAGACAGGGAATGAGTTTGCTTTGTTTTACCTCAATAGCAGACCTTGTTTCACATTAGCATCTCCTTTTTCACAAAATAAGAAAATTAAAGTCTTCTCACATAATAGAAAATGTTGTTGGATTTGTCTTAAATGCAGGCCCATTTGAATTTCAAGCACATCTTTGGCAGGTAGGGTGGGTGTTTGTCATTGGGTATGTGGGCTCTGCACCGAGGCTGGTGGCCCTGAAGTTCATCCCTTTGGAAGGGGCCAGAGTTCAGTGAGGAAGGAGGACATGGAGCAACTAAGGAGTGATTGGGTGTGCTAGAAAAAGGCATCCCAGGGATAAGGAAGTCATGCAGAGATCTAGTTCTTTGCTCTTGGGCACTCCTGTGCTGGTTCATGGATGCCAACCACAGTCTCACCTGGTGTGAACCTGCTACAGGATCCCTGTGGACTTTGTATCAGGATAAGGAAAGGAAAGTCTCTGACTGCTTGACCTCTGTGTACTGAAGCTTTCAAGGTTCATTGCAGCTTTAACCTGCTGTTCTTTCCTTAGCACTGAATATGTCTTGTGTGTTCAGTGTTGTGTTTGTTGCCTTGGCAAATGTCTCTGTGATTCACTAGAATTTCTAGATGTTTCAAATGCCTCTCCAGCCATGAAAAAACCTTTTTGGTGTTTTGTAATGGAGTGTTTGCGTAGGAGGTGCCTATTCCT